GCCTAAGAAAGAACATGTAAATTACTGTGAAACCTTCTTTGTCCAAGAATGCTCTTAGTTGAATGAGGAGGGTCTTAGAGGAAGCTAGTTTGTTCCTCAGCCTTACAGCTCTTTGACCCCCAACTCAATAGACCGGCAGAGTTCTTTGTTTTATATATTCCTTACTTCCCCTAATGAGTATTGTATGTTACCTGAGTTATTATGCAAAATGAGCCTAATAAAAGCAGGTATGGACGGTAAATCAGCGCGCTCCCCACTGGGGGGGTGGCCATTCTGTCCCTACTTCCCCACAGAAACTGGTTTGTCTCTGTGCATGTGTGTTTTTTCTCGCGTATTGTCGAGCCATCCACAGTGTGCCGTGGTCACTGCTAGCCGGTGACCCACGCGCAACAATTTATTGGTTGAGAGAGCTGTGTATTTTGGTTGCTCTGGTGCTATCATTAGTATCTTCCCGTTCAGCTAAAATGATATGCCAATTGATAAACAGACAGCCCCTCTGAGGCCCCAAGACAGCCAAATGTATTTACTAGCCAGGGTTTTTGTTAATTAGATAAAATCCCTTGATCAATGTGCAGAACATTTACCTGTGCTGTAGCTAAGCACACTGAGAATACCTTAATCCTGGCACGTGGACAGCAAGTGTTTCAAGCCCCAAGCTGGGCATCTGGGGACAAGAACCAAACCAAGCCATGAATGCAAATCTAAAATAAATGTGGGTAGCCCTCAACAAAGCCCAGATCTTTTTTTTTTCCTGAACTACAAACCAAATCAGACTTTTTTCCTAAAAGCATCTAGTAAACAAGTTTGAGCTGGTATGAAGTCCTTTAGTTTCTAAAGTCATCAAACCAATCTCTAAACTGATGGAGATTTTGAAAGACAGCATGGTACATACAGTGGGACAAGTCAAAAAGACACATACTCAACTTCCTAGTTGACATTTCCACTTGAATATCTTACCAGCATACTAAATTCAGAATGTTCAAAACTGAACTCAGAATCTTCTCTCAACCCAGTCTTCCAGCATCTTCATTTCAGTGAATGGCAACAGCACTGAGGCAGCTGATCAAGCCAGAAAACTGAAATTCATTTTTAATACCTCTTCTCCCTAATCAATCATATCCAATTCTACTCAAGCAGTCAACATTCATTTATTGAGTACCTACTATGCAGCAGGCCCTGACAGAGTTCTACACATCGCTAAGTCCTGTCTAGCTTCCTTCCTCCACCTCTGCTACTGACATCTCAATCCAAGTCACCATCTGCCATCATGCACTAGTCTGATGGCTCCAGTCACTCTCAGCCAGTCTTCCCACATCTACCACAGCTCTGTATCAATCTTTTCTCCACAGAGCAACGAGAGATTCCCCCTCTGGCAGAGCAACTGCCAGTATTGGATTCCCCTCCCCATCACACACCCTTGGCTGTTTCTTGCCTCGGTACTACCACTTAGGCTGTCGCCTTTGCCTGGAATGCCTTCCCCTTCTATTTGCTGTGCCCTACTGATATTTTAAGACTCTAATTAGGTGCCATTTCCTCTGGGATTCCTTCTCTGGTACCCCAGGTTGGTTAGGGGCAGCATGTTGTGGGCTCCTGTCTCTCGACACTGACCACACTTGTTGTTACAGTCTTTCCCAGTCGCCTTCATTGAGGGCGGAGGTCATGCCTGGTCAGGTGCCCCCAGTGCCAAGCCTGTGACCCAGCACGACAGGTGCTCAGTGAATTTTTGTCAAATGAACAAATGAAGCCTGGAGAGAACAGGCAGGCAGTCTGAAGTCCAGGTTCTACACCACCAGGGTTCCTTCATTAGAAAATGTTTGGGTGTTGTGACAAACTGACTTAAGCACTTAGCAGAGAGGCTCAGCTCCTGGCTGGCAGAAGGGAAATCGGTGTTGTCTTTCACCCAAGCTTGTTCTGAAGGAAATGTGATCTCCTTCAGGACAGGGAGAATGGGGCCCTCACTTTCCCCAGCCCTGACAGCTCCTTGTATGGCTCAGGCTGAGCTAGACAGATGTGCCTTCAGTCTATGCTGTGCCCTGGTTTCGGGTGAATGAGTCTCGAGTCTAGAAGCTCAGGCTCAGGTTTGGGCTGAGCCCAGAAGCAGGGCCACCTGCTCATGTTGCTGACTGGTGAGACAGGGGATCCAGGACTGATGTTCACTCCTGGAGAGCTGAATGCACTAACAAGGTTTAAGTGCCCTGTGGAGAAGGAAGAAAATAGTTGCCACATAAGGAGAAAGGAAGAATGAGGAAGGAAAAAGGAAGGGACGCGGCCTCCCCCTGATACAACCAATGAAAATAAGACTCTAGGCTGCATGTTTCAGGTTTGCTAAAAAGTCATAAAAAAAACAACAACTTCGCCCAAGTTCTGCTATGCTAGAGAACATGGTAAGAGATGTGGGGAGTTAGACCCTGTTCCTGCCCTGGGGAGGCACACAATCCAGTGGTTTAAGGTGAAGACTGGCCCACAACCTTCTTCACATAGAGACAGAGTGTGGAAACGGCAGATCCTGCCCTGCCCCACCAGCCAGGCAGGCCCAAACCACAGTTACCCAGCTCCACATAAAGCAGGTCAGTAGTACCCACATGCCAGGGCATCAATCCAGAGCTCTTGGCTTGATCAACTCACACTCTGAGGATTCCTGATCTGCTGCTGATTACATCAGCATGTGAACCTTGCTGGTTTGTGGACTGAGTGCCTCAGTCCTGATGTTCAGCCCTACTTCTCTTACCTGACCTCCAGTTTTGCTTCTAGAAAAGGATTCCTCTCCTCCCACAGGCTGGTATTTCCCTTCCTCGATGACCCTCATTCCCTCCTAGTCCAGTGACCAGCAAAGGCACATACCCCCCATCTCCAGTGTCTAGCAGAGGCCCACTCATTCACTCATATACAGGAACTGTTTAGGGTGAGAAGAAGAGAAAAATGAAGTCCTAATTCAGATCTTTATAAACTTGACCTTGTGTTACTAAAATAAACTTTTAATAAATCTGCATTTCCACCTTTTCTCCACCTTTTTCTTTCTGAATGACTCTAACTGGGCAATTTTCCTGCTTTAATATTTCCCATGTCTTCCCGGTGATCATAAGAATTCAAAATTCCTTATTCTGGGCATTCTAGAATTTGCACATTCCAGCTTCTCTCAAATCACCCTCCCTCTTTCCCCGCCCTGCACCTCTGCACAAGTACCACGCCAGGAGCATCAACACAACATTGGGCCCAGCAGCCAGCTGGCATCCTCTGCCCTGTGCCTCTGATCAGCTTATTTTCTGCTCTTTCCTTCTGGGGGTAGTGGGGAGAGCAGGGGAGAGACTGTCATGCTAAAGGGCAGGGTCTATGCCTTGCCCATCTCTGATGCCCTCACAAATGGCAAAGATTCTGACTGAGTCATCACAACCAAGAGCAATGGGACAAGAGGAGGCAGGAGAAAAGCAAGCTAGAGACTAGCGACACACGTGAAAGGCCCCTACAGACCCTATCCACACAGACAAGTATGAATGTGGCTGAGTCACACATACACCACAAATGCCATCACGTTCTCTATTCTTTGGGCAGGTGTTTAATTGCTATCAGAAAAACGTGTATCTGAAAGAGCTAAAATAATTAACAGATGGAGGCTCAATGGAATGGGGTAAACTCAGCCTACCTGGGTAGTGGGAGAAAGGTGGAGTCACAGCACTGCTGCTCTGCAAATGTGCTATCTACATTGGATTGCCAGAGAAAAGCAGCAGCCTGGCAGCCCTCAGCAGTTACCAACAGGTGATTCCAGGGTCAGCAAAGGCCTGGAAAGAGGGGGCCCAGGCAGTCTCACCCGCTCGGTTCCTCGCACTGCAGAAGGAAGCGAAGCTCATCTGTTTCTGGGGGAATGAAGATGCCACGCACAGCCTGCAGTTATGAATGGCTCTTATAACAACAAGCTGACATCTATGCTTGGTTTTTAAGATGCATCATCGCATGTTTATTAAACTATTGCTCTATCATATTTATTAGTCTACGAAACAACTCCCAGCCCATACTTCCAAACGTGGTTTATTAAAAACTAAGCCTTGAACATTAATACTCAAAAGCACCCTTGAGAATCAATAATAATGCTGCAGATAAAATGAAAGAGAATCAAAGCAGTAAGTCTTGGTGGGGGCTGCGGCTGCCTTCCAACACTTTCTGGTATGCTCAGGCAGCTGGAGTCCCCACTCCAGCTCCCCAAGGGTATGTTGGCGTGGGTGCTGGGCTAGCTCCCCCAAACACCAGACTTCCTGTCTGAAATGTGGACTTGGTAGTACAGAAGGGGGAGTGTCTTACGGCCATTTAGATCTATGCAACGGGCCAAAAAAGGCCAAGATTAGGCCCAGTGAGAGCCACTAGTTTCACTGAGAATAAAACCTCTGCCCCTAACCAACAGTCCCGTACTGATGCCCTGTGCTGACCCAATCTGCGCATCCATCATGGACACATACTCTGTCCTGGGCCCTGAGCTGAGTCCTGCCCCTGTCTAAGAAAAGCCTTAAATCCAACCAGCCAGTGGTACCAAAGGGCCCAGGGAGACTGGAGGAATGCAATCAGCCCATGGGCAGGGATCCAGCATGTACACCCCAGGCCTTTCTAAGTCCAGAAGACCTGGCAGAAAGGTCTCTTCCAGCTTCCTCCCAAATCCACATGCCTCTCCACGGGTGCCCACCTGTACCGCATTCAGGCAATAAGCAATGACATATGGCCCATTCCACATAGAAACAAGAACAAGTTAGAAGATTCAGGGAAGAAACCACAGGATGCAGAGGGGACTCCACACTATGCCCTGTGAAGAACAAAACAGTGGAAGGATCCAGGGGTGTTTGAGGTCAGAAGAAAAGGAAACACAGGGCTCACCAAAAGAGCCCAGGTGGCTCTGTAACTACAGGGTTCAGTTCCCAGCTCTGTGTGAGGATTTCCTCTAAGGCATTCGTCACCAGAAGCCCACCCCACTCGGCCCCTCCTGTGGGGGAGAGCAAGGCCTGGGGCTCAACACTCACCTGCTGACTTCTTGGACATTGTTGGTGCGGGCAGCTTCCAGCAGGGCTGCATCTGAAGAAAGAGAGGGCACTGGTCACACCCCTGGCCAGAACCTACCCCTCAGTACAGCTTAGAGGGCCCAGCAAGACAGTGAAAGTAAAAGCACTTCAGAAACATGGGCTTTAACAAGAGAAATGATGCCAAGATACAGGCATGCCTCAGAAACACTGTGTGTTCAGTTCTGGACCACTGCAATAAAGTGAGTGTCGCAACAAAGTGGGCTGTAATCTTTTTGCTGGTGGAGGGTCTTGCCTTCAGTTTGTAAAAACAAAACAAAACAAAAAGAAAAAACAACCCACAACATCTGTGAAGCACAATAAAGTGAGTGCAAATGAAAGAGGTATGCCTGTAGGTAAAGAGAAGGCTAACCATCCCATGCCCACATGTTAACAACTTGTCTTCCATATCTTGCTGTTATAGAGCCCAAACTCTTAACTCCTCTCATCACATGGGCGATCCCAGTGAAGTGCTGACACCAAGTGTTGCCAATGGTAACTGTTCAGTGTGTGGATTCCTTCGCTCTTCATTAGCTGTAAAGCTCTACCACAGGTGGCAAATGCAAGGCTTACGGGCCAAATCCGGCCCTCCACCTTGTTTAATCTGGCCGGGCACCTTGTTTCTACCTGGTGGCAGTGCTGAGCTCCTTGCCCCTAGTTAAGGAGTAGTTCCATGTACAGAGTCCTAAAATTACATTTGGCCCTTTGAAGGCAACTGTGAGGCTGATGTGGCCCCAATGAAAATGAGATTGACACCTCTGAGATATGTTTTAAATGACTATTGTTATTAGCCATTTCCTGAGTTTGCCCCACTTTCTCTCCCAGCTTGTTTCTCGGCCTAATTTTGATGTCACAGGTCACAAGCTCAGAGGTAGGGATAGGACAGGGAGAGACAGGCTAAGGGGGGTGTGGGCCCTTCTGAGAGGAGAGAGTTGACCAGGAGTCAGGAGGCCTGACTCCAACACACACTGCTCCCTCCTCACCCTGCACTGTGGCAGCCCCCTCCCCTCTCAACCCCAGCTTCCCTGACTTTAAAGTAGATGCAGTAATCCTTGCCCCACCAGGCCTCACAAGGATGCTGAGGATATGAAATGATGATTGGTAAATCTGCAAACTCCCTGATGCCAAGCCCAGCAAAGGGAGACCCCAAAGCAAAGGGTTCCAATTCTTAGGAATTACCTAGCATGATGCTGGCACCACCTTGTGGCCACGTAGAAAAACTGACTCAAAAAAAAAAATCTCAAAAGACAACAGCAGCACAATTTCTTCAGAGTTAATACCAAGAACCCGGGAGACCTCTGAGCCCAGCTTGAGCCTGGGTCTGAACTTCAATGTTGAACACCAGATGGACTCACACCCAGTACTGTCTTAGGGAGTTCTTAGTCCAGCCAAGAGACTCACCCAGTGAAACAGGAGGCAGCACTGGAGCAGGGTAGAAAGCAGGATCCGGAGATAGGCAGACCTAGGCTCCCATCTCTGCCACTTACCTGCTGTACCACCTGGCCAACTCACCTAATTTCCTGGGCCTCAGTTTCCTTATTTGTACAATAAGGATAAGATACCACCTTATCAAGCCTATGCAAACCAGTGCTGTGGTTCAGACAGTAATGATTCCACTCCACCTCCAAGCCTAGACTACAAGGCCAGGTCTTTCCTGGTTATCCTCCCTAAGCACATACCCAGGCAGGCCCCAGCTGGAAGGGAAACAAGCCTTCTTCAGAGGTGGCTATATCCACTCTTCCCTCACTCTGCTGAAAGAAGTGGCTTCTGCAAGGTCATAAAGGAAGGGAAAAACAAGCCGAGATTAAACCCAGGCCTCCTGGTTCCAAAACTGTACAGTTTCTACCACACAACACCCAGGGCCTGAGTTTACAACTCTGAGTCAGGGAATAGTAGTTAGCAAGTCAGAAGGGTTGGAAATGGTCATGGCCTTGGTCATCATCTATTTTGGTAAATAAAACTCTGGTCTCTTTGCTGGGGTTCACATGCCACAAAGCCCAGTCCAGAGCCCCCAAGGAACCTCTAAAAGGCAAAACCTTGGATGCCTCCTCCTAATACTTCTAAACATTCTGGCCTCAGGATATTTCCTGAGCTCATGACTCTCCGATGCCTCCAGGAGAAATTCCAAACCATTCAGGCCCCACTCCATTTGCTCTCACCTCATCCCACAGAACCCCTGATCTCCAGCCAGGTTGGCCATTCTACTAGCTCCTACACACACCATGCTGATCTGTGACTCCCATACCTTTGTTCCCGGAAGCCTCTGCATGGAATACAATCCAACTCAAGACACACTTACTGAGTACCTACTAAGTTCCAACACTATGGTGGACAACATGAAGGTATTTAAAAAAAGAGCTGGTATCAACCTGAAAAAAAAAAAAGAGGTAAGATGCATTCCTTGCTTTCATGAAAGTCACAGTGAGGCCTTTTCATCTCACCTCAGCCTTCAGAAGGCAAGTTCAAATTCTCTGTCCTCCAGGGGTCTCCAACCTTCCAGGAAAGCTTTCCTGACCCTGTTGGCCCTTTAATTCCCCAAACTACACAGAATCAGACCACTCACCAGACCCACAGGCCTCACTGCCTATACTGTCTTAAGTAACTTTGTGTTGCGTTAGGAGTTCCACACCTAGCTCAAAACTAGGCACATGGGGTTATCTAAAAATGCTGAAAGGGGGTATCCATAGAATGCCTAAGCTACAAGAGAGCTTAGAGCTCTATTTCAACATCCTTGTTTTGTAGATGAGGACACAGAGGGCCAGTGAGGAGAAGCCAGGGTCTAAAGTCACAACGGGAATTAGAGGTAGAACCAAAACAGGGTCCCAGTTGACTTTATACCTACTCCAAGGCCCGTCCTTCACAGCTGCCGAATAAGCAAATTTCAAGGCAGTCTCCCCCCCTGTTCCAAAGTCTCAGAGCTGGGGAGGTATGGAATCTATGAATACCATGCCTCAGTGCGCCCCCCCCGCCCCCCTCCACAATGAGAATCTGTTTGGACAAATGAAGGCAAGAAGTCTGGCTCTCTGCCTGCTCTCCCAATCCCTGCTTAGCAACATGCCCCCAGGTGAAATTCCAACCCAGCCTCCAAGGGTTGCTTTGGGTCCCCAGGGAGCCAACTTCCAAGTCTTCCTTCCCCTGCTAACTGCCCCACATGGCAAGATCAACTCATGTCTGAGGCCAGGCACTGCAAAACCCTGGGAGTCTGATGGGCAGACCCAGGCTGCTAAACTCCAAGAAAGTCAAAATTACAGCACTGTAAGAGTACTGAGAAATCATCTTTCACTGTGTAAGTGAGGAAACTGAAGCCAGAGAAGAGCAAAGGGTGAGGAGTGGCGAGGCCAGCATTGAAACTAAGTCTTCTTCCTTTCTTAGGCCACCTTAGAGGGTGAGCTCTAAACCATTTAGCAGTTGCCTCAAAATACACGCAGTCTCCTGCAGACCTCTTAAAGAGGAATTGGATCAGGTAGAATTTTAGAGCTTAAAGGACCATGCTCCCGTTGTACAGGTGGAGAAAACGATGCCCAAAGATGGGCACTATTAGGCACTGAACTCTCCAGTGCAAACCCTACCCCTGTGATGATGTCTGGGTCCCTCCAGGTCTGAAACTCCTGTTCTAAATCCATAAGCAATTCCCACACCCAAAGAGAATCAGGACGCTCCTCCCGCCTCTCCCTTCCTCGAACCCAGGCTGTCCCAATAATCACCCTTGCTGGACGGGGTCTTGCTGTAACAGTGAACCACCAGAGCTGTGGCCAGGGCCCACATGCCCATTCCAACTCTGTTGGGGAGCTCATTCCAGCAGTCGTGTCCGGAGAGTGTTTCTTTGGAGCTGGGAAGGTGTTCCCCTGGAGCGGCTGCGAGGCACTGGGTCTCCGGACGTCTTCCCTGGCGCCCCCCGGTGGCTGCCCCTCTGCGGGTGATCAAGGCCAGTGATGTTCCAGGACGCCCCCCAAAGGGGGCTCTCAGCCACTGAGGCTCCCCGCAGCCCTCGGTGGTCACATTCCGGCCGGAGGGACTTCGGTATTTCTGGAGCAATGGAGACCTAAGCAGCTGGGGTAGGAGCCGCTGCGCCAGCGCTGTTCTCTTCAACACCAGGGACCCCAGCATCGTGACAACTGGTTCGATAACCACCTGGTGCCGGCCCCCGTGCTGGCCACTGGGCTGGCCACGTCCAACATGGCTGCCGCGGCGCGTTCGAAGACGCCGCTAATAGAATGGAATTACGCACTACCTCACGGGAGTGGTAGTCCACAGCTTTAGAGTTTCCCGCAGCTGGAGGGCGAATAAACTACAATTTCCAGAAAGCTGTGGAACGCGTGTCACAATAAACGTCTATTTACAGGAGGCCCCGGGGCATGTTGGGAAATGGAGTTCGGATGAGGGGCGCGGCGATTAAGATGCGGGTACCAGAAGACAGCTCAAACACGCGCTCGATTTAAATAGGGATCTTCGGCAAAGACCTGTTATGAAATGTATGCTTATTTCTTCCAGTGTATTTCTCTTTTCAGCTTGAGACAGCTTTTCACGAAGATGTTTAGGGTAACTGGTCCACCTGAAATAAGAATTCTTTTTATTTTCCTACTTTCCTTTTGGCTGAAAAGCTGATACCTTGTCTTGCTTTCTCACTTGTTTTATTTTCAAAAGACTTTCATGTGGGCCATTTCATCTTGTCTTCATGGCACCTGCGTGCGGAAAACTGGATAAGGACTATTGTAATCTACAGGGAAGGGAAGGGAATTTAGGCTCAAAAGTGAAATGATTTGTCAATAAATCAAATAAAACTCGTCTTCTGACTCTGAGCCTATCCTCTCCATAAACACCTGTAACCCATCCCGGCCCCTTTTCCAGACAACTCACAAAGCAGACAGAAGGAGGAAGCTCTTCGTGCCAGTGCTCTCTCTTGCCTCTGCACTTCCTTCAAATGTCCTTTCAAACTTCCCATTATGAGAACCTTCCCTGACGATTCTATTTAAAATAGCAATTCCCCTTTCCCCTATCCTTTTTGTCCTGCTTAATTTTTCTTCACAGCGTTTACCAGCTGACATACTAAATATGTGTTGTTTTATTGTCTTTCTCCACTAAAACCCCCCATGTGACCCCCATGAGACAAAAACTTTGTTTTTTCACTTTTATGTCACTAGCATCCAGAACAATGACTGGAACAAAAAGAGGTGTTCAGTATTCTGCCAGTGAATGGATTATTCTCACCTTATTGGTGTGGGGGAATGAATATGAGGTTTAGAGTGTAAGCAGTCCTGGATTTCAATTTTGACTCTTAGATTTACCACATGTGTGATCTTGGACACATTTCTTTACCTGATTGTTAATTTGCTCATCACAAGGCAATTGCTTGTATTAAAAGAGATAGACCTGTGTTAAATGGGATAATATGTAGACCATCACCATCCCAGCTTATAGTAGTCTTCAAGAAATTGTGGCTACCATATTTCCTACCCTACACTTCTTAAGGGCAGCAACAGTTTCTCATTTCTTCATCTTTTTGTAAGGCACTCAGCAAATAGCTATTGAATACCAGTAAATGAATGTATATTTTAAAATTACTCAATAGCCAAAGCATTTTGACCTATTTTAATAGATTACCAGGATATCCCGTCTTGTTAGCCGCTCAATTCACTGTAGCAGCTCCATCCTCCCTGCATTCTTAGAATAGTTCTGCCTCCCAGTTTAGGGTGGGTCAAGACAGAGTGCTTCTGAACATTTAGGTAAACATCACCAGTAATAAGCAGAGTTCAAACCCTGTTGCTGTAGATACATTCCAGGGCCCTTCAGTTTACTTAGCACTGCATAATTTTCAAAGTATATACCCACTGATTCTGTCATTTGATTTTCACAAATAACATCCATTAGGGGTGCAAGGCAGGAATAAATCGCTATCAGCACTAGGTAGGTAGTACTGAGAGGTTAAATGATCATGTCTGACTGAGTGGGAAGTAGTGGGGGAGCAGAGCATGGGAATATCTATTAGAATCAGCTGGTACTTACAATGGATTCTAGATCTTCAATAATGAATTCAAAATCTTCTAGGTCACATTGCTAACTTTTTTTTATTTCATTTTTTTTTAAGATTTTATTGGTTTATTTTTAGAGAGGGAAGGGAGGGAGAAAGAGAGAGAGAGAGAAACATCAATGTGCAGTTGCTGGGGGCTGTGGCCTGCAACACAGGCAAGTGCCCCGATTGGGAATGGAACCTGTGATGCTTTGGTTCGCAGCCCGCACTCAATCCACTGAGCTATGCCAGCCAGGGCTTACATTGCTAACTTTTCAAAAAGTCTTCAACTCAGGATGACTTCCTTTTGATCTACTTAGAAAGCAGGGATTTATATCAGGTTCCAGTTTACCTAACTTGGTCCAGAGTTTCTAGTTCTTGGGGTATGGGACAGAGACCTCCAGCTTCATTTAGTTTATAATGAGGTGACAAGGGGTTTAGAAGGAGGCGGAAAGTGAAGGATCAATGAATGCAGTTTCTGTGGTTACCTACTTCTGGACTAGAGTTAGGGGCCATTCTATAGGTTTCTAAAGAAAACACTTCCCTGAAAAAACAAAAAAAAAAATACCACACATTTCTTCTTTAAGATATTATTTGTTTGTTTGTTTATTTGTTTGTTTTTAGAGAGCAGGAGAGAAAGACAGAAGGAGAGGGAAAGAAACACTGATGTGAAAAACATCAACTGAGCCACACTGGTCAGGGCAGTAACACCCATTTTTAAATGAATAAATAAGTCATAGATAATGAGAGTAGGTTTTTCTCTATTGGAGAAAGAAGTTATAAATAAGGAAAGGGAATGCTACAATGAACCTTGTGGTATCAAATTGGAATTGGGGGTATCAGTATAAACTTATGATTTTAAAATACATGTATGGATAGACCAATACAAAAATATAGATATGTAAGCATACATATAGTTTAGGATAGTCCATAGATTGTCTATCTTGTCAAAGAGCACAGGTGCCAATTTGAAGGAGTTTCTCATGCCAACACTGGAACAATGAAGCAAAAAAAAAAAATGATGGTATGCGGTTTTTACCTAGTAAAACAAATACCCATGAGGTCTTACTAATATAAATAGTCAAATAAATAAATAAATAAATAAATAAAGGAGGAATAGAGAAAGATAGCTCTTTCTGACAGTGGAAATTAATTAATGAATGTACAAGGAAGAGGGAAATAGACATCACCATTAGGCAAGTACCACAGCAATAAATATTTCAGACAAGATCCACAGATGGTACTAACATATGGTAAATGTGGGTAAAATGTGAGAAGAAATAGGATTTTTACCGTCTCAAGGCACCTCCTGAAAGATACTTATCAACTATAAACACTTTACAGTGGAGAAACCAGGTGCACACCAACTTAACCAAGTGATCAAGGTAAATGTTACCAGTATTAAGAGATACAGACATCATGAATCCCTTGATCCATTCTGATTAACCCTTGTGAGTCAAAGATCTTTTTAAATATATTTAGCACTGTACCTAGGGGTTAATGCATAGAATTTGAAGACAGAGTCACTTGCTGTGGATCTTACTGCATATTGCCATGCTACTATCTCCACACCCACTTTCCCACACAGATGAATGGATTTGTTATTAATACTAACAGCTAAATTTTATATGTTTCAGCCACTGTGTCACATAAGCTACCAGCACCTATTATTTACAGAGATGCTCAGAGAAGTTTCCCTCAGGTTTCCTGGGTATTTTTTCATGATGTCTCTAGCCACTAAAGATAGCAATTCTAGCATGTAAACACATCTGAGAAATCCTAGAGGAACTTATCTAAGCAAGTTATTCAAACAGAAGTTAGTGGCTACTAAACATTGAGTATTTATTCTTAGTAGCTTTATATGAACAAGCTCACTTAATCCCTACAATAACCCATGCATTGGGAACCACCCACCTGGTTTCAGAAGCTGTAACCCCCATGCCTAAGGCTGAGTGAGTGACCTTGGGACCATAAGCCACTAAGGAGACAAAGCTTAACTCCTGGCAGGGGCACCGCCTCTACCCCTTTTACTTCACCCTCTTTGGCCCCCAATGCATAATTGGCTAGCCAATGATGGGTAAGATTCCTCAAGGGAGGGACGATCTAAGACAGGCATGATCATAGGGACCGCCAGAGAAGGACTTGGGGGGCTATAGCAAAAGGGGGTGATGGACCCTCACCCCTCAGCTTTGACATAGCCTGAGTCCTCATTCTGCCTTAGAGAAGTCTTCTAATCTCTTGGCTGCCTGACTTAAGCCTGAAACATTTGGGAGGTGGGTGCAGCCCTGTGCTGGAAAGGGCCCCAGGGGCAATCAGGCCTATGAAAGAATGCATAAAATCCTGTGAAATCTACTTCGCTAAGAATGTCCTCAGTTTACTGATAGGGGTCCAAGCATAAAATGTGTTTGTTCCCCAAAGTTTTTAGCCCTTTAGCTAACTGACCCTGACTCAGAATAAACCCTCATAATTCTTTGAATATTTTCTATTGTTTGATCCTTACTGCCTGACAATGATTGATGAGCCTTACCTAGCAATTCCTGTGAAAATTGAACCCAATGAGGGGAGGGGTCTGGGGGAAAAGCTCCCCCACACCCATAAGTTAGATACTATTAATATTTCCAATTTTGTTGGACTCAGAACTCAAACTATTACCTATTAACAAAACACAGTTTGTTTTCTAAGGAAATGTGTGTGTATGTGTTATGTCTATGTGTGCAAACACATTGCACACTTTCCTGTATAACAAATAGAACATAGTGAATATAGTTTAATCTTTTCCTGATGATTGAGGTTATTGCTATTGTAACAAATATTTTTTGTACCACAGTATCAATGTAGAAGTCTTATGCTCTAATCCAAACTATGCTCAGAAAATATTTTGCTAAATAAATCTCTTATATCAACTTCTTTTCTTGTCATCTGTTTCTTCCCATTGAATCAAAGTATAGCATGTGGCCTCTGGGCAGAGTAACATAGCTACTTTTCACACTAAGAGTAAGAATTTTATTTATGATAAATCTGCCATTTATCACATAAGTGAGGAAAAGATGAATTAGTTAGTAAATGGTGTTGGGACAACTGGATGGCCAGGAGAAAAAAAGTAATTGGATTTATATCTTACCCCTCCAACCATAATAAATTCTTACTAAATCAAAAGATTTAAATGTGAAAAAAAGAGACCAG